GTGGCTGCCCTCTTGCTCCAAGCTATACTTAGTGTACCCCCCCTCTCCTCCCAATCATTTTTTATGCATTGTCCACCTTGGGAATTCAGGATCCACATCTGTTTTGAGTTACAGTAATGTCAATTCTGAGTCAGTGCACTGACTCCAGTAAGCTTACTTCAGATTGAGAGCAGGCAGCAGGGGGACTGGACAAAGGGGCATTTGCCACCAGGCTTTACTGATAAGAGTGGTACAGGTAGTGTGCTATGAAGCTTCCAACTGTGTGCCAGTTCTGGGTGAGGGCTGTAAGATCCTGCCTGTCTGGTTGATGAGCAATTTTTGGTGAAGTTCTGGGATTGGATTGGAGGATTTTGAGAGAGAGGTGATGAGGAAATTGCTGCTTGGAGAGTGCTGTGTTTGGACGAGGGAAGAAAAATGGCTGCCTTATGGTTAAGGCCTTAAATTGGGGTGCAGGGCATCCAGATTCTGTTCCCAGCTCTGCCTGATTCCCTGTATGACTTTGGGTTTGTCACTTAACATGTTTCTCAATTTCCCCATCTTTAAAATAGGTTGATTAATATGTTTTTACCCTGTTGTGTCTGTACTGGCAAGACAAAGCGTTCTTTGGGACAGGAACACGCTGTCATTACGTGCGTGCAGTACATAGCACAAAAGGTCTCTAGACACTACTGTAATACAGTTTCTGCTGTGGTAATTATAGAAGGATTTGCTTCAATATGGTGCATACCTCCATAAGGCCCTTCTCTCATTGATTCTACATAGTCTAATATGCTAGGAAGCAATGTGCCAGGGAATAGTTATTCACTCTCTATAAAACCAATGGGACATACGTTCCCAAGACAGCCATCTACAGTAATAGAGCTGGGAGGTGTTGAATAGAGATTACAGGGACTGATTGCAAAAAGGCCCACTGGTCCCAAGGAGGTAAGAATTGCTCTGAAGTACTCTTTGTCTCTGTAGGCTTTTCAGTATTGTTCATTCCCCTAGCTTTGCATTGCTGCCTTGGTGAGAGCAATTTATGGCACCTTCTAAAGTCCAAACCTCTGTACTGGGAACAGCTTCATATTACAGTATTGCCCACAAGCACCTCAAAACGCATTTCAAACCAAGATTATTCCTTCAGTCTAGGGTTGGCCGAGAACAAGGTTCCATCCCATGTCTACCCACTTAGGGATGAGGTGAAGAGCAGACCGGACAGCCAGTCTTACAGCTTGTCTCTTCTCTGGTTACTCATATTTTAGATCCCAAGTCCAGCAAAAGCTGAAGGGTACTGGACTGGGTTGAGGGTACAGTGAAGCTGTCTAAGGTACAGACCCTTTCTTCTGATGCACAAAACTTCCCAGAGGGGACTGAATTCTGATGTTTTCTTCTTCCACAATAGCACTTTAATCTAAAACATTTTTTGCTTGTAAACAGTTCTTCTGTGTGGGGACACATGTAAAGCATTTACCTTCTTCTCTTGGCAGGGAGCAAAAGGCCATAGACCTCTATAAACAGCTGAAACCCAGGCCTCCAGGTATGGAAGAGACTTGTTTTGTGACCTACCTTAAAATTCTCAAACCCTTCTACTGATTTTTGCCTTCAGTAAAGAATGTCAGACTTTAAAGTATTGTCTCGGGCAAGGACAAGGGGAATACTGGGGTTGGGACAGAGCGAGACCCCCTGATGTCGGGGAGCTTGGTGAGAGATCTGGATAGAGAAGGTAGTGGTCTGGTGTAGTTGTAGTAGTAATGTGTTTAAAACTGTGTGAATAATTGTATGCTTGAGCTACTGTGCTCTTGAGGTTCCAAGTCCTGGCTTGTGCCAGTCCAAGTGTCTCTTGTTGCTGGGTTGATCAGCTGCTCTCAAATGACCTCTACACTGAAATACTTATTCCAGCTTCTTAGCCGTGTGGTCTCACTACTATATTTTGCTTGTCCACTGGTCTTGTAACCCCTTCCCTCCCCACACAGACTGCCTTGTAACAGCATCTAGCGTCATCATCTTTCCCTCTACTTCTTACCTCAAAAAAAAGAAAAAAGGGGCTTCTCACCTCCCTCTAAAAGCAATCTCTTTTTTTAATACAGTGGTAGAGTAAAAGGAGGAAGGGTGATGGGAATTGAAATAGCCCTGTATTTTGCAACCAGGGCAGTAGCCATCAAGGAGGATTGTACACAGTTGTGTGTTTGGGGAAATAGCTGCAACCCTTATGGAAATCAGTGCGTAGCCAGCCAGAGTGGCTCAATTTTAGAGCAAGTGTGAAGAGAGGATTGAACTGCAGTGTGCTTGTGCATAATAAAGAAGACTGATTCAGTTGATTTAATACCCCAACATAAGTACTGCCATCCATGATGGGTCGGATCAATTTTGTGCATGTCGGGGGGGAGGAACTGGACACAGAACTCCAGCTGTGGCCTCACCAGTGCTGGATAGAGAGGAAGAATCACTTTCCTCGGTCTGCTGCGAACACTCCTACTAATGCAGCCCAGTATGCTGTTAGCCTTCTTTGCAACAAGGGCACATTGTTGGTTCATATCCACCTTGTTGTCCACTGTAACCCCCAGGTCCTTTTCTGCAGAGCTGCTGCTTAGTCAGTCAGTCCTTAGCATGTACCAGTGCATGGGATTGCCCTGTCCTAAGTGCAGGACTTTGCAATTCTCCTTATTGGACCTCATGAGATTTCTTTTGGTTCAATCTTCCAAAATGTCTAGGTCTCTCTGAATCTTAGTCCTACCCTTCAGCATATCTGCTGCTGCACCCAGCTTAGTGTCATCTGCAAACTTGCTGAGGGTGCATTCCATCCCATCTTCCAAATCAGTGGTTTTTAACCTGTGGTCCGCAGACCCTGGGGGTCCACAGACTATGTCTAAGGGGTCTGCAAAAGATGACTGTGATCAATCAAAGGTGTGTGAATACCCATACTCATAATACAGAGGGGTCTGTGCCTCCATTCAAAATTTCAAGAAGGATCCACGCTTCATTCAAAATGTTTTAGGGATCCACAAATGAAAAAGTTGAAAACCACTGTTCCAGATCATTGAGGAAGATATAGAACAAAACTGGTCCCAGAACTGACCCCTCCACGTCATCTAATTCCCTTTTTGAACCTGCCTTTTTATCAGGCTTCTCTTGTTAGGTGAAATATATTTTGGGGGAGGGGCGGGGGGGTTCTATGGATATGTATCTAAGAGCTGTGTGTCCTTTCTCCAAAGGCATTTTGCTAACAAGAGGATTGTTGTTCCTCCCAGATCATGCCTACAGTGACAGCACGGACATGGTGAAGATTATTGTGCAGACTGTGCAGAGCCAGGACAGAGTTCTCAAAGAGCTCTTTGGCCACTTAAGGTACCAGGAGAGCTTGTCTGTGAGTTAGAAAGCAGAGATGAAATGCAGCTTTTAGGCTGGAGAGATCTTGTTAACACATTAATTCAGTTGGGAAACAGATCCCTTGCATTCATATTTCAAAAATGAAAACTTCGTTCAGAGACGTACAGTTCAGATTGTTGAAGGACACAGTCCTATTGCTGCCCCAACGTATTCAAAGGCAGTAAAGAGAAAAGTCTGCTTCATTCACTCCTGCATATATCCTTCAAATTACCAACTGTCAATAGAATGCTGTGGCCTACAACTGAGCATTGCTTCTCTTTCAAGAATTGTGCACAAATCTGTTGAAACAGCCCTTTTAATGCCTATTCCCAAGAGCATTTCATGTGTTCTCTAAATGACTTCCATGCGCACATCACTGCCTCTGCAGTGGAGCCCTATAGGGTAAGGTTCAGAGTTTCTTGTGGGGCAGAAAAAAATAAAATATACACAGTTTGAAGTGTAGAAACTTTCTCCCATTGGGTGCTGTGCACTACATACCTAACAGTAGGGGCCATGTACTGGAGGCTGTCCTTGTGCTGAGCTTATAAACCCCATCTATACAGTGTTAATAAGTGGTGATTTACATCCCAACTGAACGAGTCACTCTGTTAAACAATTGTAGGAAATGAAAAATCTGAGGTTCTCAGCATAACGTTCATTCTGGTGTACGAATACATTGTATTTTGTATTCTCTTTTTCTTTTATTTAAATGCGGAGCCAAGGAAGCATCGTTTCACCTTTGACTAAGGTCTAATCTATCCTAGAAAGCTTTGCCAGCACAACTGCAGTGGTCCTGGCAAAACAGTGAGTGTGGTAATACTCAAAGACCCTCTGCTGCAGCATATCCTGTTCAGGTGGCAGAGCTGCTCAGAATTCTCCTGAGTGAGCTAGTTTCTGCTGCCACCCATCAGTTGGCTGAAGGCACAGGAAAATATGCCCGCACCTTCTTCCAGCTGTTATGGTCGCCTCAGCAACTAGTGCCTTCTTAGGGTGCACTTTGTGCTTTGATGGCTAAACTGCTGTACTGGCAGCACATGAGCCACCAAAAGCATTAGGGTGTTCACATTCCCTAATAACTTGGCAGTGGCAGCTGCTGGCAGCCAATCTTCCTGTTGCCAGACCAGATAGGTGGAGACATCCACGTGCAACAGTGACCCTGGAGACACTTTTAGTGCCTGCAGATATCCTTGTCGATGATGGGGGTAGCATATATTGTCCAGTTGTCTGTAATGACAAGCTCTGTAAGCACTGCAAGTACACAGACTGCCAAAACTTCCTGCACCCTCTATGGCAAAGTAACTAGTTTCTCCTTTACCTTACAGCAAGCTGTTGGGCTGCAAGCAGAAGATTATCGATTTGCTTCCAAAGATTGAAGTGGCTCTGAATAATATCAAGGAGGCTGACAATTCAGTGATGCAGATGCAGGGCAAAAGGCAGAGGGAGATTTGGCATTTGCTGAAAATTGCTTGTGTAAGTAACTTAAGATTGAAGTCCTTAAAGGCTAATGCTGATCTCTTCAGCCAGGTGTTGTGTAACCTGTCAAATCTGCAGTGGTTTGTGAAGCCCTGTAGGAGGTTTGAAGCATTATATGCTCAGTGTAAGTAGGAATTGTTCCCCGCTGCTCGCTGTTTGGAGGCTGAAGCTGAGGCCCCATTATGGTGGGCTCTGTACACAAATAGTAAGACATGGTCATTTACTGTCGTTGAAGAACTCTTATGTAGACAAGACAAGAGAAGACAGCCTGCTGTGGAATATCATGTTTGCCTTTTGCACTGGCCTGCTTTGGTACTGGAGCCATGAATGGGGCAGCATGTTAGTTGGGGTATGAGCTCAGTCTTTGCTCACAAAGATGTAAGCAGATTAGAAGTAATCCACTCAGCTCCTAGGGAAGCAGAAACTTTTCATCACCATTTGGTACCCTAAAGAATCAATATGCAAACTATATATGGTTCTCCCCAAACAAGGTGGTTCCTCTAGGGCGTGGATAGGACACCTTTTCTGGCTGCGGGGCGGACTGCTTTGCCCTGGGTTAGAGGTAGGCAGGCAGGTGCTAGGAGCCGGCCACTGCTGCTCATTCTGCAGTGGCACATGGAGAGTGCCTATAGCTGGTGCCCCCTGCTGTCAAATACTTCTTTGAAGCCCCAGGTATGCAGGCTGGATCCAGTGGTTTCACAGGAGGTTGTCAAAGGTTGCTGACCCTTGTTTTAGGATGTGGCTTGGGTTTGGAGAACAAATATGCTAGATGGTGGGCAGGTGTGTGTGTTTGTGTGTTGTGTGCACAATATGGGCAAGGTCCTGGGACCATGAGAACATTCATCCATGGTATTTCACAGTTTTCTGGGGCTTTGTCATTCCTTTTGCATGAATGTACATACGTTAAATGGTGCTTGGGGTCTTTTAGCACACATGAAGTGCGACTAACATCTTTATTTTCCATCCACGGAAAGCGGGTAATGAAAACAGTTCTGCTCTTCCTCCAGACTCAGAGTTCTGCTCGCTCTCTGGCAAGTTCTAGTCTAGAAGGTTCAGCTACAACCACAACAGCTGCCTGGCTCCCGCAGACTTCTTCAGGAACTGTGCCCCACTCTCTGTCTTCAGTGTCCACACCTAGAGATGGGTAAGAGTCAACTGGAAGAGCAGCTTTTACCAAGACTAATTTATCTCTTTCCTGAAGAAACTTTTTGCATGCAGAAGCTGGCCTCCACTTCTGAGACAGCACTGGCTTGGTTAACATGGACCAGGACCTCTTTGTACTCAGCATTGTAGCAGCAAAGAAAGAGATGGGCCCTTCCCCAAAAGCTTAGAGTCGAAGTGATTCCAGACAACTCCCCCTGTTCATGTTTAGAGAAAGCTTGAGATGCTCTAGATTTCAACAGTGACAGTAGACTGAGGGCACTCCTCTTTTTCTCTCATCCTTCATTTACTGTTAGTACCTGATTGTAAGAATGTGGATGAAAACAGCTGTTTATTGGTAGCAGACAGTGGCCACACAAAATCTACTTGGCGCTTGCCAAAGTGGTTTAAAATCTTGTGGTCCATTTGGATTGCGATTCTGGACTCTGTCATTTTAGACGGACAGAACGTCACGCATTATAAGCCATAGTCTTCTCTTTTAAATAGCTTGATTTCTCTTGCACGGTGGTTCAGAATTTTACCAATTGGCTGGTTCAGACTGGTTCTGGTCTTTATCTCAGATTTCCAATTGAGTGACACCCCTGTGACTGACTGCACATCCAAGGTTAAGTACAGAACATACAATGTGAGCCATTCCTGACATCATCTCTCTGCTGAGTCTAAGAGTTTGGTCTGTCACTTCCTTGCAAATTGCATTTGAAGAGTGCTGTGCCACACAAGGTCCTGGTGGCCTGCAGGCAGCATGCAGCCCGTGAGTGGCTAACTCCATGGCTTACAGGCTTCTGCTGCCTTTACCTCCTTGGCTTCCCATGCCTTCCCCTATGAATCCAGGAGCCACTTCTGCAACCCATCACCACCTCCTTCCATTGCCACCTGCTGCTGCCAGAAAGAGTAATGTATAGAATGGCAGCGAATGACTGCAAATTCCTTCTCCTTTCATTGTCCCATGCCTCCTGGAGGTGTCATCCTGTCTCAGCTTAAATCTGTTCTCTGGTGCTTTACTTTTGCAGGGAAACTTTTGCCCGTATATTGGAAGAGAACCTGCACTATCTCGACCGCTTTAGCACAATTATGCAAGAGGCAAAACAGGAGCAGAGCAATAGCTTGATGGTAAGTGCTTGTATGCTTCAGGGGCCTGGTTCTTCAGAGTTGCCAGCTGGTGTTTGAGGCTTTAGGCTCTTGCACTTTTTGGATGACTTGCGGAGGTGAGCTGCTGTGGATGGTGTGCATGTAGTGTCCTAACAAACTGTTTCCTCTACTCTTGTCTCCTTATTTTAATTCTAATGGAAATGCAGGCACTGACAAAACTGTTAGTTGGATAATTCTCTGTTATTGAATACAGATTTCCCCCACCATTTAGGCAGGTCCCTAGCTATGATAAAGTGGACTGTTCACTTTCCTCTAAATTTTGAGAGGCTGAAATACATAAAACATGGGGACAAGCAGAAGCACTGAGGCAATTAGTTCATTCCTCTTTCTGTCTGAGTGGACTCAGCAAAGCCCTAAGTCTCCTGAGTTTATCTCCAGTGGATTAACTGAGCTGCAGTATCCAGATGCTCTTCTGTGTCCATGATGCTGCAGTCTCTCTCAATAACAAACTGATCAGTTACAGTTGCCTAAATGTCCCTTGGTCCATCTTCAGGACCAGGCTCTCACATGTTACATCTTCCCACCATGATGTTAAGGTTCTCTCTTTGTGGGAGCGTTGGGTGTTGGTTCCAACCCATAGCTGGAACCCTGTTAATACTGGCATACACAATATGCTGCTGCTCCCCACAGCCACCTGAGAGCCTTACCAAATTTAGGGACCTATTCTGACTACTGCACACCACTGTGGTAGTATTCAGGAGATTTATAAAAACCATAATAGACCAATGAACAGTTTTCCTTCTGAACCATAATGGACCGGTGAACAATGAGCAGCATAGGTCGAGAATAAGCAGTCCTAGTTTGCCTCCACAGGCATTGGTGGACCATGGGAGTAGTAAAGGAGCTGGACTGAATGTTAGAGGGGATTCTAGCTTCTTCCCAATGCTGGTCTGTAGAAACCATCATCACTTGAAACAGTGGGCCAGAATGTGGAGGGTGTGAAGGTAATATAAAGATCTCCCTGCTGCTTTCTTTGGTCTGATCCTCTCAGGGATGCACACACATCTGACCCTTATAGTTCTGTTCATTTTTTATTGCTATGGTCTGTTAATGTTTCTCAATTTATCTTCCTCTGATTTACAACCCAGCTTCCTCATCAGTAGTTCCAAAATTTTAATCATGCATTGGTACTGGTACCACCGTCAGGATCTAATTATTTCATAGATTTCATAGACATTAGGGCTGGACGGGACCTTGGAAGACCATCGAGTCCATCCTTCTGCCCAAAGGGCAGGAAGTCAGCTGGGGTCATAGGATCCTAGCAAGATAAACATCCATTAGTGCCAGCTAATGGAGTTGGCTTAGATGTGCTAAACACTGGGTGGAAACCATGATCTTATGCATTTAGGTATCCAGAAAGAAATGCAACAACTCTAGAACTCTTGGTTCATAGATGATACCTTTTATTAGGCCAACTAAGAAATCACAAAAAAAAATCTTTTCTGCAAACTTTTGGGTGTACACGCCCTTCCTCAGGCTCAGGGAAAATTAAAGATGGTAAAAAGTCCCCACAGGTAAGAAATAAACTTCATTTCAGTTTATTGTCTACCTATGGGGACTTTTTTACCATCTTTAATTTTCCCTGAGCCTGAGAAAGGGCATGTGTACCTGAAAGCTTGCAGAAATACTTTTTTTTTGCAATTTCTTAGTTGGTCTAATAAAAGGTATCATCTCTGAACCAAGAGTTCTAGAGTGTTGCATTTCTTTTTGTCTCAGACCAACACAGCTACCAAGTACATCCCTTTAGTTACCCAATAGACGTCACATGGTGAGAACTACAATCCCCATTTGCTTGTGTCAAAAAGAACGAGTAGCTTAGAGGACAAAAGGCTAAACATGAAGGCTTGGTAACTCGCTGCTCCTGGCACAGTAAAATCTCCGTTATCTTGCATGAGTGGGGAATGCCAAGTGCCAGTAATGTAAAAATGCTAGTTATCTAAAAACACTGGAACTGGAAGGGGTGGGGGGCTTGCACACAGTGGCGCAGGGTGGTAGGTGGTGGTGGTGGCATGGGGAGGTGGCACATGGCTTGCGTGCGGGGGTGCGTAGTGGTGGATGGTGGTGGCAGCACGGTGGCACCAATTAATAGTGTGTCGGCTAGTAGAATGCCAGAAAACAGGGATTTTACTGTGCTTGTTCTTTCTCCCCAGTTCCTTCCCGCTGCATCTTGCATTTAACATTCACTGGATAGAGTGGATACACAGCACTGAGAGAGTTTCTGCTATTCAGACCAAGAACTCAGGCTAGAACTTAGCCCCCCACACCCTTCTCTTTCAAGGGCTAAAACATGAGAAGGTTGATGTTAAAAACCAGAGGAAAACATCTGCTAGGCTTGGGGGTTTGCCTAGCTATAATTTTGGGACTTGTCCCAGGTTAACTTACGTTGCTGTGTACTTGCCAAGACAGTGCAGCCCAATGGAGCATGCTCAGTAGTAGGAATGTGCACCCAGAGCTGAATTGCAAACTGCATTAGTGCCAAAAACTGCCTTAAGACTATGTTGCAAAAAACAGTGAGCAGGAGGAAGAGCCAGCTGCCTTTTGCAATAACTGTTTATCAGGGACTCAAGCAGGCTGTCATAGGTTCTGGCCCATAACACAAAGACATTACCTACCTCAAAGGCCTTATAATCTTAGGCCTACTTCTAAGGCGGACCAGAGTGCAATTTGCAGCAATGCATTTATACAAGCAGGTGGTTGCCACTAGGGCTGTTCAATGGAAATGCATGAGGGTACTGGGACTCAGGTTATTCTTTTGCCTCTTCTTTTAGAGCCTTGATTGGAGTTGGCTGAAATAGTGAAGGGAAGTAGGTGCCCAGCTGCCATCCCCATTGCATCCACGTGCTGAAGCATGGCTGACAGCCTGTGGCGAGACGGTTGGTCAAGCACGTGTGCTGTGGTCTGCACCCGCACTCTGCTGCTTCAGGACTCTTAACATCTCATCTGATTGGCAGTTAGCTCTGAATGAGCCCTTGCCTTGTATTTTGTAAATGTTAATGGACTTGATTGTAAAGTTCATGGTCACTAGCAGAGTTCCGGCCTGTGTGATTTGCAACTAGAAGCAAACATTTTCCAATCTGGTGCCTAAGTCAGGCTGTTAAAGTATCTAAACAAGTAGCCTGGTTATTCAGAGATGCTGGGCACCTCCAGCTTCCACTGCTCAGTGCTTGGGAAAATGCCACCATTTCTATTTAGAAGCTTCCTAGGCTTGAAAGCGTTTACGGTAGTCAGTAGATCTCTAGTATCACATGCTCATGTACTGGGCCCCTTGGATGTGTCAGTGGGATGGTGGTTGCTGATGTGGCAGAAGAGCTGAGGTCAGGATACTGTTTGTGATGTTCAGTCTGTGTTAAACTTTTCCCAGCAGGAGATACTCTGCCTTTGTGTTGGAAGTGAATGCTGTAAGGTATGGGAGAGCCATAAGGTTATGACACTATGGAGGCAATCTCCCTGCTGCTCATATTTACTGCTTGGGGGTGGGAGTGTCTCCCAGGTGCAGACCAGGCTCTGCCGTAAGTAGATGGCATCTGTGTGCCTTGCTTGTGCACAGAATGGCTGCTTCCCCCCCCCCGTCCCCCTGAGGACATGCATGTCAGGACCTACCTCTGCAGTGAATGGCTTGGAGCCAGTGTGGGGGCCACTGCAGTGCCAGTTGCAAACTGACAGTTACCTTACCTTACTCCTTCATAAACATCCATCATCAGTCTGGGGGGATGCAATTTTTTATGAATGGAAGAGAAACACTAGGCTGTGGCTTTCTTCTGGCTTGCCATCTTCCCCTGCAGGAAGCAGTTTTGATAGGTGTTTATTATGGGTCAAATAGCACTCCCCATTCCAAACAGAACAGATTTGGAATCTAACGGCTATTTTGAAATCATGTAAAAACTCTATTTGTGAATTTGGAATAAATATCTTCTGTAGTACCTCTTTGTAAGTGGTCTAATTTACTTGCCCATGTTTGTTTAAACAGTATGTGCCAAGTAAAGGTTACATGCTACCATGATATCTGTTGACAGGGTTTTCAAAAATGACTAGAGCTTTTGTGTACCCAACTTTAGGCATCTCAAAGGAGAATTATTTTTTAGAGGGCAGGTACTTTGTACTTTCTGCAAATTAGGCTCTGTTAAGTAATCTGTCTTGGGCATCTAAAAGCACTAGTCTTAATCTTAGTGTGTTTCTCTCTCCACTACTGTCCCTAAAAACAAACACCTCATTTAGCACCTAAATGTCAAACATCAAGAAAACAAAAAGTGAAGGATATTGTCATTCTGAGCCCACACCGGGAAACCTATGAGACATTGGGAATCCATTGCTTGGCACGTGCACTTCATGCATGCATTATGTAAGTATAACCGACTCTCCAGAATGCAAGGCAACAGAAACCAACCAAGTACAAAAGAGCCTGCTTCATCACAAGCCCACAATCAACTCTAGCCCATGGGGTTTGTATTTTTTGCAACCTTTGTTTTTTTCCTCCTACAATAATATTCCATGTAAGTACATTTAGATGCTATTCCTTTAACTGGTGTTAAAACTATATTGTCAGTGAAGTACTTTGGAAGATATGTATCAACATTTCTAAATCTGCATGTAAGTTAATAGGAAACATGACGTTAGTTTGAGTCAAGTAAGTCTTGGGAATTTGAGTTTCAGGCTGACCAATAACTGGAGCTTGTACCTGTGGCTGTTTTTCAGGAGCAGTTTGCAGGGAGTATTTGGGGATTTGTGCCTGAGCTGTACCATAATAGTTGAGGCTTAAGTGAGCTCCTGTGTTAGCAAATGATCACTCAAGGTGCTCAAATATCCATGCACATACTGTGTGTTGAAAATTGGTGGGCCTTACTGGGGCGCACAGTGGAGTTTGAGGATAAGATTTGGTCATTTATTTGAGGGTGGGGAGGCAGAAATACAACATACAAATGAAAGGATGAATCAGTGCATTTTAACTGTTTTGCTGGACATAAATGAGGCACAATCTACAGTTCTAATCTGAACTAAATTTGTGTTGATTGGATTTGACCTCTGCTAGTATCTACCTTTAGGGAAGCAATATTTCCAGCTTTGTGACTGGTTGGCTCTAATTGACAGCAAAGTGTTATGCATGAGCTCCCCAGTGGAGATGCAGTTTATGTCAGCAGAAGGAATTTGCTTGGTAAATATCTGCTAGAGGATGTGAATTTTTCTCAGTCTTAGCTGGCAAAACTGTTGGGTAATCCTGACCTCCTACAGTCACTTGGTGGCTGAAGAGATCAGAGTAGTTTTTGAACCAGACACCTCTTAAAGGTGACGGTTGTTCATCGTGTCTTAAAAGTTTCAAACAACTCCTTTGGTGAAGAGGTCAGGGGAATAACTGAAGGTCAAGCTTATGCTAGAATTGTCTGGCATAGCCCTGCCAGACACAGGTGTGTTTTTTCTATATTCCTAAGCTGGCCTAGCTACACTGCTAAAGCCCCTCAAATAATTGGCTATCCTGGCAAAGAGATGTTTCTGTTGGACTGGGGAGGTGGCATAGCTCCCTCAATGGAGTAACACCTGTTGGCACACTATGGGCCTCATAAGATGTTACAACACCCAGCTCTGTCTCAATATCAAGTCCCTTGGTGTTTCTCCTACGACCTGGCTTTGACCACTGATTTTGAGGCTTTCCCACATTGTGACTCTGCCTAGCCCTGCTCTCCACCTCTGAACTCTGCAATGTGCCAGTGTCTAGGCATACACTCCAGCACTAGGCATCACTCTGGTTCACTAACCCCGGCGGGTATGATATGGTCTAATTCTGACACTACAGCCATCACCCCAGCCGTATGATACTGTGGCACTGGGCCTGCCAAGCATCGTAGCCCTGCCCTCCAGAATTCAGCCCCCCAGTTTGAGCCCACCCTGTTCTCCAGCACATCACCTCCTCACCCTGACTCCTGCTACTGAGCCTCTCTATGTGACTCCAGAAATGAAGGCTTCAGCACTCAAGGCCCTGGTTGTGCCCCCAAAATCCAACCTCCCAAGACAGTCCTCCTGCATCCAGATGCTCCGGTATAACACTGTTCAGCACTGATTTCACCAGGCCCCACCTCCAACGGTGGGACATGGTTCAGCTGCCTGCCTCCCCCATCCTGCCCCCAACACTGGGCTTCCCCCACACCCCACAGGTTGGCTCTATCTACCCCCACGTTACATACACCAGTACCCCCAAGGGCCTGGCCCTGTCAACACTGCTCCTCCAGGCTATGACATCACAGCCCAGCTCCATTGACAGTGCTGCTCCACGCTATGACATCACAGACTGTTCCATCAGCACTGCTCCCGTCACCTGCTATCACAACAGCCCAGGCCCTCCACAATCCCCCCCCATTATGACATCAAAGCCCGGCCCATCAGCACTGCCTCTCCATGCTGACATCACAAGGCAGCCCCGTCAGCACCGCTCCTCCATTCTATGCCGTCACAGCCCGAGCTCCCCTCCTCATGACGTCACACCGCCCTACAGCAATAGACCCCCGACCACGTGTCACAGCCCAATCCTGGCCCCGGCTCTCCTCCCACGCCCGCGCCCGACAGTCTTTCTGTCCCCGCCGCCGTCCCGTAGCTGAGCGGCGGGGCGGGGCCTCCGCCTCCTCCGCGCCGATTGGCTGCCGGGAGGCGGAAGTGGCTTGGGGGCGGGGCCCGGCCGCGGCGGTTGGGGCAGTGGCGGCGCGTATGAGGGGCTAGCGCAGCTGCCACGTGGGGGGCGCGGGGCGCCTGGGCCTTCGTGCAGGCGGTGCCGGTGGCGGCGCCGAGCAGGTACCTGGGGGTGGGGCGGTCCCTCCCCCTCTCGTCCGCGCCCGCTCCCGCTCCCGCTCCCGGTGCACGTGGCTGCGGGCAGAGCCGACGCCCCGCGCCCGCCCGCTCGGCCTGTCCTGGCCGGGCTTCAGACGGCCTTCGACCAGAGTCCGCTTCTGCTTTCCGAGCGCGGGGGCAGCTTGCCCTGAACTGGCCTTTCGGTGCAGTGTGGTTTCTGTTGTGTTGCCTCCAGCAGGGCCCGCTGTGCCCGGAGTGTGGCTGCCGGGTGAGCAGGTCTCGCAGTCGAAGAGCTCAGGGCTTTTGGATAGAGGTTTGTCCTGCCGCACTTGGGACGCGCTGTGGTTTCTCCTCTTTGGCCTGTGACCCCGCCGTCGTTGTCCCAGCCGGTTTCGCCCTAGAAAGGGCTGCTCTGCCATAAGCTTTCGCAGGGTTTCTTGCGATCGTGGGATCGGATCTAGTATGAAAACTGCTGCCTGCCAACAGAAAGCGCACCCGCTTCAATTTGTACCCTAAAAATGTTTTCTGTCTAGCTGTGCGGAAAAAAATAAAAAATCCACTTTATGCCTAATATAAAGGGAAGCCTTGGCTACCTTGTTGAGACTTAGGATTGTGACAGAAAGTATCTGAATGCCAAGATCTTTTATAACGAGCATGAGGGAGACTGCTCAATAGCAGGGTTTTAATGAGCCTTTCTTCTGTTCGTTTTGCACATCTGCCTCCGGTGCAAAGCATTACTTGCCTGTTTGAAATCTTGAAACCCATAATTAAACTGTTATCCAGGCTCATCCAGTTTAGATGCCAAAGTACTTAACAAATTACTAAACCCTTGATTCTTCTGTCACTTTGCCAGGGTGGAGTTTGTCCTTTATAACACTTGCGTGAGGCTGTCTGACATGCAAGTTCTCTTCTGTTCATTAGTAGTTTGTTAGTAACATCAGAGCTGGGACAAAAATATATTTTATCTTTTAAAATTCTGTTTACTTGCCACATTTTATTCAATTTGGACCTTTTGAGCAAATCTTCATTGTTTACCCTAGAAACCTGGGAGGAGTTTCCTTTACAATTAGATTTGATAAGAAGTAGGATAAGGGTGAAATATCAGCAGAAACATTTTCACTGACGGGGAGACTACATTAAATTGTTTTACTTGGAACATAAGCGTCAAACCTAACTTGACTTTGGATGTTAGAACTACATGACATGCGCAGTCATGTGCCACACGACCTGTGTACCATGCTGTGATTTCCCGGGCATAGAGCATGGGTTGAACCAGACCTTAAAATGATACCAGGATCAACAGTGATCGTGGCTTGAAGTCTGAGTCAGAGCTCAGGGCATTTCCAGGCAGAGACACTGGATGTTGAAATTAGAAATGGTGACTGTGATTTATAGATTCGTAGATTCATAGATTAAGGGTCGGAAGGGACC